ATGGTTTTGATGCCAGTATTAACTCAAGACATTTCTAAATTTACCTGAAGATACCAGGTATCAGTTTTAATGAATTTCGTACGTCGTGTTATGGGGACTGCCCGTAATTTCTGTTTTGTGTTGTGAAATGTAAAATTAGCATAATCAGCAAGAATGTCCGCAGGACAATTTATTATCGTTCGAACAAATTAAGAAAAAAACTTCCATTTTACACCCATGAAAAGGAAGGGAATGCGTTTTAAGGCTTTCCAGTGATATAACAGAATGGGAATTGGAAAAATAATAATAATAAGAATGATTATAATGATAAAATTAAATGTCATTTCTGATAAGACCTTTCGTGAATACCGCCCCAGTATTTCAGTAATTTTCTAACTTTTTGTGAATAATACTTTGTTATCTGATTGCCTTGAAAAATGCATTTATTTGTCTTTCAAATGCTGTCCGTTGTATGGCGATATACTAATTGATTCCCAAGTCATACAGAGAGGGTCTGCAATGAGTGTGCTTACAAGTGTGTACATGTATATGTACACATGAGATTTTTGTTCAGTGTCATTTAAATAGAGGGTGTACATGTCGAAGTCAGGATATATATAATGCATTATTTATTAAGGAAAAAAATAATGTCAAAGTACAGTTTTCATTTTTGCACTAGCAAAGTATAATTGCATGAGGGTGAAATTCAATCATCAGTGGCTTGATGCTACACCCAAGTTTTTCCCTGCGGGGTGAGGAGATTTCACTGAGGTATCTACTTGTAGTTGATTTCCCCATCCCCTGCCCCTCCTCCGAGCTTGGATTCGTGAGATAGTTGTCCATGAAGTCTGGGGAGAATGATTCGAAACGGAGTTATATATGTTTCAGATACATACACTTGTGGAAAATTACCCTTGTAATCCGTTTGCAGTCTATATATCAAAAGTTTAAAGAAAGTAACATGACTACCACAGTCCAACGACCGCGTAGTACGTATGTTTAATTATCAAGAAAAACACAAATGATTAGTAATAAAGCAAAATTGTATGTATGTATAAAAAAATGTAAGATTACATACGAAATTACTAAAGCAAAATAATTTAGATATAGAATATTGATATAGGTTTGTAAATAATTCATTTCTGATATTACCTATCAGAAATATACATTCATAACACGAGTAATGGCAGCTTTATCAGCCATTTTCGTAGTCAGTGCGTTTCGGGAAAGATAATGTCATACCCGACGATCGGAATGTCAAATGTCAAACAACGGTAAGGATAAGGATAAGTCCGATATGCGAAGTTGAGCCTCGCCCAGGCTTTGCCCATGAGGGGAGCCCGGCCTGTATCGACTAATGCCAACTCGCTAACGTGTGTCAGCTGGTGCAGACTCAGCTGAGCTTAGTCCCTACCCGCCGTGGTGCCCAGGGATATTTAGAGTTACCACCATTATTAATAGACCTGCATTATTATGACTATATTAAGGCTGGTTATAAGTCGAAATTTCACCGTCGGTGGTTGGTAATTCAGCTTAAAATCTCCCCGAAGTAGATAGTGATAGAAATATAGATAAATAATAATAATAATTATAGAAATATATATATATGTATGCCTAAGCTTACATATAACGTATTTACACACTTGACCTGCATATACGTATATGATGAGCATATGAATGTTCTTCATAAATGTACATATTGGGTTGAGAGTCATTAATAAATGAGGATTATTTTGATTTCTGAAGTTATGCTAATGAGTCAGCTAGAATAAGCTCTCGGGTGGAAACCTTCCGAAACAACTCGAATCAAGTGTGGCGAGAGAGTGTGGGGAAAATTATCGAGGTTTGTTATTGTTATTGATAAACCTGAAAGTCGGTTGCGAAGCGATTATGAATGTGACTGATAGACAAATTCACAAAGAACAGGCGTATAACTTTCGTGAAAACCATCCCTGATGTCTTTGCGATTGAAAACCGGCGCCTCTCTCATTGCCCACTTGTCGGAGTGCGGAGCTGTGCCCTCCTCAGCAGTCTGTCTGCCAAGGATGACACGGATGAACGCTGCACACTAATAAACAGTGACATTGATAATTATAATTATAATTTTCTGATAAAGATAATGATGATAGTAGTAGAAGTAAAGGTAAGCCACAATGATATAGATAAGAATAAAGGGATTATCTATAAACTTGGTGCCGTCATTGCAAGTACTATATTCCAGTAATTATGATAGTAGTAGTAAAAGTATGTCCGTCACTGCTGGTACTGTATTAATTCTAGGCCCATGGAATTACTTATGTACAATATTTGTTTAATGTTTAATTGAAATTTACCGTCTTCAGCACTTATATCTTCCCAGGAGAGTACTCAAGAGAGTCCAGGGTTAGCTGCCCAGTCATATGATATAATGATTATTTTGAAATATAATTTTATTGCAAGAATAAGATTTATATAGACTGTAAAGAGGATTCATTGAAAATAGAGTATCACCTGCTCATATATACACACACACACACACACA